ACATAAAAATACATTTTTTTTTTTTATTATTATTATTAATACAATTTTCCCGACGTGGTCAACTAAATGATCTAGGTATAATTTTTTGTTTTGTTCAAAAGAACGGTGATTTACAATTGTACACCATTAATGGACAAAATGAAAATATTAAATTACAATTCAATGTATTTCAAAAACAGACAGATAGGTAGGTTGATTGGTACGTTACGTAAATGATATTAAAATCTCCATTGGCTTTGAAAACATAAAATATTATATTTGAACAAAAATGCTAAAAAAAATAAAAAAACGAATTTCCGCGATCCGTATTCGTCCGAAAAACAAAATCTTAAACTGTGTTCCACGGCATCATGGGGCTTAATCAGTAAATATCGAATACGATAACATGAGATATTTTTTTTTTTTGAAAAAACAGGTATTAGTAGGGGTTCGCGATTTCTAAAAGTCTTTCGTCAAGGGTCCGTGTGCACCGAAAGTTCAAGAACAACTGGCACAAAGCAAATCGGCGATAATACTTCCGAAGTCGATAACAGAACGTAAATAATTACCGTTACTGTAAACGCGAATAAACGATACTAGTGCGCGTAACAAAATATATAGAAACCGTCTGGTTTTCGGTTTCGTACGTAAAACTGAAATCAAACAAACATACACTTAAGACTATAGGAGTATGTTAAATTTTCGAATTTCCGACACTGTTTTGTCGACATAAATGTTTTTTCTTCGGTTTCATATCATTTCTACAAGCATTTTACGAAACGTCTTAAAACTGTTGAACACTTATAATATTTGTGTTTGAGTCTTTTACGTGATAAAATTAAAAAAAAAAAAAAAGCCGTATAGTCCTCGGCGATCTCCGCGCTGAACCGAGTTTGATAATAATATTACACACGAATATAACATTACGCGGGAATTTTCAATTAACAATTAATGTCTATTTTAAAACTAGGATGGTTTTACTCATAGTATTATTAATAATACCACCAGGTTATCGACAGACGCATGGACGTATTCAGTGACAATGCATAGGGGAGCAAACATAAATATGACGTCCCTAATTCATTATAAACGTTCATTTTTTACAAGTAAATAACCCAACAGATTTTATGTTATACTTACAAAATAACAACCTATATGCTTACCTGTCTAGTCTTGCTACACACCAACAATTATTCACCACGTATTGTATTTTACAATAGGAATAAATACATTATTAGATAGCATATTGATTAATGTAATTTCACACTCGTAGTGTATCTAAATCTATAAATTTGATTGACTCCCAGTGCGATAAAATTTCGTTTGTTGACTTATTGGCTCGTTGCGAATATTATCCTGCGATTTTTCAAATGCTTAATGTTTTTATATTATTGCTTCTAACAGCGTACACAATAGAATGATCGTTCATTAAGAAGAGTAAAATCGCGGCTTAGGTCGACTACGGGTGAAAATCGTTTAAATTGATTATGTATGATGAGCCTCCATCGTGAAAGAGTGAACATAGACGAGGATATTTTCATTCATCCTGAATGAATTATTCATTAAAATATTTGAAATAAAACAAAGAAATGCGCAGTTCTTATTCGCCGATAATGAATTTGATTACATTTTTCTTTTCAACACTTATTGAAATGTTTTTTTTTTTTAATTAACTATACATATGTATACATATATATGACAAAACAAATATAATATGCATTTTCACAGTAATATGTGAACAAAATATTAAATCTTTTTTATCCTATATTTGAGAAATTTGTATTTTGACCCTCGTTACAATTTTACCTTTAGACGCCCATGACCATTAGTAATATGGAAACAGGGTATATAAGACCACAAGACCGTTCTCTCCCAATAAGTACCTAATAGTCCTAATATTAGATTCCATTACGATTTTAGATATTCCGACAAGTGACATCGTAAATTCGTAAACTAAAATAATTAATATTTATTCAACTGAATTTTTTATTTTTATTGTATTACAAACGATACTATCAAATTATGTTTTGCCGCCCTTAAAAGTTTTTCCGCTCTTGTCGCCTGGAGCACCTGCTCCATTGCTCCCCCTTGATGTGCCCTTGGACAGACGGAATGGAGTAACTATGATCGGGGCTATTTCGGCACGTGTTTATACATCGGAGACATTCGTTATTCTTTCCCAGTGAGATAACAACGAGCGTCACCTGCTTCGCCAAACGGCGGAACCGGAAACTCCAGCTGCTGTGACAGACGGCCGCGGCGTCGTCGAGACCGGGACTTTCGGTATTTCGCGAGTGTGCGGAAATCCACCTTGCGGTATAATGTATTTGAAATGACTCCCGGCAATTACCAAAAGCGTGAATCGAATCACGAACCTCTATGTATAGCTACAAGTATTCTTTCCGAAAGAATGTAACCTAATTGTTTGTTTTTTAAACGAACTTAATTGCTTACAATTTTTAGATTCTGAGCGTGACATGTGCTTTTTGTTTGTTTTATATGTTATGTCTGTAGAGAAACTTTTCTACAAGATATCTTGCTCTGATCATGGATTGTTTATGAGGATTTTCCGGTATTGTCTAATTGATGACTCTGGTAATTTTTTCATATTCCAAGAAGTTTTTTTAATATTTAGGAAAAGGGTAATTTTTTTGGTTTTGCAAGTCGTTTAAAAATAATCATAGAGACCGACATTTTTATTTTTTTTACTGAATACTTAAATTAGCCTTTCTTAGATGTGATAAAATTGTCAAAACATTCTGTCTATTTTTAAGCTATTAATAGAGATTTTACATTTTTGAGTTTTCATAAGCGTTCAAGTTCTAATTTCGACGAAAATCGTAAAAATCAAGGCACTCCAAAACGTGTTAAACTGAACTTCGCCTAGAAATGTTTTTTGTTAGCAAGTCGCAACTATCCACTTTCAATAGTGGCACACCCGTCAGAAGCATTAGGTATGTTTTTTTTACATTTTCATCAATATTCGCTTCGTTCAAAACTTTTTGACTCTACTATAATAATACTTATTTAAATACGATCGGTTTTCTTTTTTCCTCTAAACAATACTCTCGCCTGCAATAATTTGAAAACCCGGATAATTCGAATTATTATAGCTATTCATGCTGTTAATGATATTTAGCTGAACTCGTGAATTATCGATTTATTGAATATTAAATGTATTTTACATTATATTTTTTTATGTATGAATCTAATAAAATATTTCTTAGCGTAATACGGCTATATATGTATACTATATACTAGCTACAGTAGTTCTAATACGAAATTATAATTACCGCAGTAATGCAATAATGCGCGCAGAAAACGTATTACTATACACGCGTATTAAAAAACTGCAGTGTGATCAACGATTCGCTCGCGTAGGCAACGTAAAAAAATATAATAATGTCGTATGCGAGCGCGTTCGAGTATAGTATAATAGCTATAGTTACCTATATATTATTTTCAGTGAACCGTATAGCGCCAAAAGAACTAGGAAGAGTCATTTGCGTTTTTGTGGAAAAAAAAAAATGATAATAATAATAATAATATCGTGTTCGTCGAATGAATTTATACCATATTATCGTGTACGACGGTGTACGTAGGATTACTACTAGCCGCTCGACATTAATAATAATAATATCAGACAGGACATCCTCTCTCGACGGGGGGGGGAGAGGGCACCGACCGACTGCAGTGGTAGAAACGAATGTCTTCGGCAGGAAACAATTGCCGCATAGGTTTGCTCGCTTCGCGTCCGTCTCCGTTTAACCCGACAATTGGCCGTAGTTCCTCTTGCAGTGCCGCTTCCGGCGGTGACTGCAATATACTCGTATTATAAAATGTATACATAGGTATAAGAACAGGCACACGAAAACGGTGTCCTCGTCAAACCGCACGTATAATATTCGTTTTCATACTATAAGACTATGCGTGTTTTTTCGGGGGTGAGACATGGCGAATTTAGATTCAGCTAAAACAATTTTATTAGTTTTAATAACAGAGTCAGAGTAAATTGATCTATTGTCAAACTTAATAGAAATAACATTAGGTATCCGTGTAGGTTTCGTTATAATAATTTGTAAGCGAGATGTGTGTATATGTATTTGTGTATGTGTACAAAATCACAATTGAAAAATGTTCATGTCTCGCTTAGAAATGAATATATCGAGAAAAATGCCAACGTATAAATTATACATATGTATAATGTTCTTCTTTTGATAATAAATCGATTCACTCTAGTCTCTAATATCAAAACTTATAGCACAAATTTACTATGGTATGCGTTTATGCTAGACATAAACAATAAATACACGTGTAGCGCCTAGTTAAAGATATTCTAAGTGGTAATACTAAAGTTATAACCAAAGACCGGATTTAATTGCATTTAAAATACACAAAAATTGCATAATAAATTGCACTATAAAAATGAAAAAGTTATATAAAAAAATTTAGATAAATGTTACTTTTTTAAATTAAAATTGATAATTAAATACATTTCTAAATTATATCAATTAAAACTAAGTCTTCTATTACTTAAAATACGTTTGTACAAAGAAAAACTACGTTCTACGTCTACACTAGTTATTGGTGCATATTTAAAACAATTTAATAAAGTAGGCGTTATATCTAAATTAATATTTGCTTTACCTGACATGACTTCATAGTAAGACTTTAAAGTTTTATACCCTTCATTTTTTTCAATTACATGCATACATATTTCTATAATTTTTTTCCCACTTGGACCAGGATTATTTGTTAAAATACCTTATATTTTTCTGAAAAATATCCATGCTTTTCAGTAGTTCACTATTAGATTCTTCCAAATTTTTAAGATTCATAGATAACTCGAATAAGTGTAATATTATGAATGCTAAACCACATTTGACTGTATTATTTTGTACAAGCTGTTTCAGCTTTTCGACACTTATAGCATCATATGTTAAACTTTCAATCAGGTTTTTAAACTCTTCAAAATTATTTGCATAGAAAAGTGCAGCATTTAACCATGTTAAACCGGGCATTTATTTTCTGTATTTATTTATTCTCGATGGTGCTTTTAGGAAAGCTATTTTTCCTGAAATAAACGAAATAAGTTACATATGTATTTAAATTTTAAATAATTACTTAATATACTACCATCGTTAATCAATTTATTAATGTCGGGATACAATTCTCGAATTTTCTCTAGAATTCTATTAGCTACGAGCGCCATACATGTAGTATGAATTAATTTCGGGAAAAATATTTTGCATGTGTTTACTGCTTTGATCGTATAAGTACCAGCATCACTAATAAAAATTAATACTTTTTGTTCAATACCAGGAAATATTTTTAACGAGGAATTAGTAAACTGACAAATAGTTTCATAATTGGTGGATTCTAGTTCTTTACATGCAACTAAATATGATTTATTAGGCGTCCCATCTAATTTACCGATTAATAAATTTGCAATAGCCAAATCTAAACGAAAATAGTATATTTAATAGTATGAAAAATTAAGAAAATTATTTATACAAACCTTTTGGATCGGTTGTTTTGTCAATAATTATGTAAACGTAATTATTTCCAATGTATCTAATTATTTGGTTCATAATTTTAGAATGATGATCTAATAGATATTTTTTTTTAGTAGACACACATTTGTTACATACGAGACAATATATAACCTTTCCATCTAATGTAAATACTTCTTTATTTTCGTTGTAAGGAGCTATCCAATTCGAAATTTTACTTTTTAAATTCGATTTTATTTTAGCCATTACGTCGAATACGGTAAACGCACACGAATTGCTGAACTACTACGTTGAATTTAATTACACCATATATATATATATATATATATAGACCCTTGACGTGGGAAAATTGCAAAAAATTGCAAAAACGTTGAAAATTGAAAAAAAAATCGCATTTTAAAATTAAATAGGCAGAATATTTGTTTTAGTATATATCGGCTATATATTTAATCAGATCTGATTTATCTTTATTGCAAAAAAAGTTGCAATATCAATTAAATCCGGTCTTTAGTTATAACGTACACGCAAAATAATACAAATTTAAACGTATTTTTTTTTTCTTATCGTATCATACGGTAAAAACCCGTATGATCGTTGCATGCGTTCATTAATCGTATGATATCGCTAGGTATACAATAAATAATTATTACACTAATGAATTTATCATTTCTACCTAAAAGTATAGCGTGTATTGAGTTCAAATTAATGTATTCATGAATTTAATTAATTTACATGAATTTATAATAATGATAGTAAAAAAAATAATTCAATAATTTATTGTAATTAATTTATATGAGTATTAATGAGTATTAAATTCACTTATATATATATATATAAATGTATACAGGTACAATCTTCAATTTTTTATAAGTTGTAAAATTTATTCAGAATAAAACTTATATTAAGAACCTAGATCACAAAACAATAAAATTGGTACTTCAAATAATTTATGTACCTTCCTATTCATTTTTAAATGAAATTTGTCGGCTTATAATTTATTTTAAAGGATAGTAGGTAATCAAATATCTAACAATGAATTTAAATGAATTTAATAACGTAGGCACTAAATTATTTTCACAAATTTAAGATTGTGTTGTGTTTATTTTTTTAAAATAAAATGTCATATTCATACTTTATTTTAAGTTTTGTACCGTCAATTCAGAAGTTAATCCTATATTCCTATCATCATCAGATTATATTCATATTACTAATGATAATAATAACATGTCATTTAATAATTGATATTAAATAGGTATAGCTTGTTGATCGTTCATCACCAAGATTGACATCAATCGATTATTCTGGTTATTTTTTTTTATTATAATGAAAAATTAAACATTTACACACATATGGTTTAATATTAATGATAAAAAGATAAATAGGGTTTTTATCTTCTGAAATTGATTATTCTGAAACTATTGATGAAAAAAAAAATGTGGAATATTCTATAACATTGAAATTTTTCCAAAAGTAATAAATGATACATTTCGTAAGTAAGTTTTAATGAATTCATCTAATCAAAAGATATGTAAAGTTGGTCCAGCGAATTTATCTCGGGTATTTACCAAAAATTTGAGTCTGGTCTTTTTTTGTATACCGTGCATAAAAATTCTACCAAATATTTTGCTTCAAAGTATCAAGTATAGCACCTTTTCTGAAAGGGACTTTTCCTAGGGTGGTATTTTATAAGAGATTATTTTTTAATTTTCTCAATAAACGGTAAAAACTCGGAAAGTATACGCAATGTAGGTCTTAGTGAAAAATATTATGGTCTTCTTTCTCCTGTGAACAACGTTTCTACTAGCAACATTGCTCTGATTTACAATGATAGCATTTTTTCTGAGAGGAAATCTGACTGGGATGGTACTTTAAGAAGGTAACTTTTTGATTTTCCTTGGAGTTTTCTCAGTAAAAGAACAAACATGATTAACACCGGGAAAACGGGAAAATAGATACAATGTTAAATAAATATTATTAAAGAAAATATATAATGCTTATGTAATTGTTTTAACGTAATGTGATATGCCTATCGTTAGCAAAGCAAACTATTAACTAAATTCTGCTCAGAATCGTTTTTTATTAGCGAAGATTAATCGTTAAGTGCAGATCTACATTAAATTCCCGTTTATATTCTACCTTCCCGATATTGTTGCCTGCCCATCGTGCGAAGTATGTCCGCCTTTTTATTGTTAGTTAAAATATTACATTGAATTCATCTATTATCGTATGTAAAAGCAAGACCATCATTGTCTGTGTGTTTTTATGTTGTATTTTATTCGATATTCTAATTTCTGAGCGAGATTAAAACGGTTTTAAACTCTGATTTTGGCTGTATATCGTTTGAAAATTAAAATAATAAGAAAATGAAACTGACGTATAAATACAAATAATATTCTCCCTTTAAATTGTATAACTGGTTATTCACTCTAATATTAAAATTAACAGGTCGAAATTGTGCCTGCTAAACACCATTTGTTTTATGTCGTGACGTCGTACGTTTGTAAGACGGAGACGACAAGTACACGCTCAGCGTCCTCTAAAATCTCGATAATTGCACTCGGATTACGGTAAAAATCGTTAATAGTAAAACAGATTTATATTGCAATCATATGCGTGGACTGCCTTAGTAAATTATTCGTACGTATTAGGTACATGTCGTATTTTCATGTCGGTATAGGCATATACGCGTCACGATTCGACAACGATTATTGAACATCACGACATGCTAAGGGAAACGAAACCTATCGCGCTGTATAATAATATACTCGTACGCACGTGCACAAGTGTGTCGAAAAGACCTTGGTGACAAATCCGGTCCCCGACGATTAACAATATATTTTTTTTACATACCTATTATTTTCAATTTTTTTAATATTGGTTTTATCTATCAACGTCGTATTTTGCACACTCCCCCTCCTCGTTGTATTCCCGCACTCGAATGGTGTAAAACCGTTTACCACAAAATCGTTGCGAGGTTTTTTTTAAAAATTTACCTACGATATTATTTTCAGTCCCTAATTCAATCCATATAATACGGAATGAATTCTGGGTATCGTATAATACGGAAGTATCTATATAATATACTTCTGATCTATAACACTGGTACAATTTTTGAGTACGATAAAAAACAGTCGAGTACAGATTATAAAAACAGGTGTTATCTTATCGAAACGTGGGGCAATTATGATACGAGTATGAAATACACCGTTTGATTGGACGATTATATATCGTTTTACATACACATCTGCAACTACTATTTTCGTACGATCTAAATTGTTCTATTATAATCGTAAATAGTCGTGTAGTCAGTCGACCAGTCGATCGGTACTTAGTGAGATAAAATGTGTGTTAAAAACTCAGGAATTCGAAGAAACGTGCACAAAGAAAACGGGATTACATTTTATAAACGTATTATAATTGACGAATTATTTAAATTTCAGTTTTACGCAAATGACAAACTTCAACAAATATGCGTTTTGGAAAATGTATGGCACTAGAAATCCAATAATATTATGAAATCTTTTTATTTTCGTGTAACCCGAAATCGTTTTCCGGTCACTTTAAATTGTTCACGCCAAAACATGATGATGTTTGTGAAGCACTTATCCACAAATATGTTATATAGCATAATTATTATTATTATTACAGATCAAATTTGGAAAAGACTATTGTTTAGGTACGTTACGATAATATTTCATCATAATATACACGGGTAATGATAAAATAAATTATTATTATATTTTTTTTTGTATTATAGGTACTGTTTGTCCATCAAACAATTGTGTTCTTTGTGTTCGGTTATTGTCTGTGTGTACTTATCTTTTATACGTTCGCAAAGGTATACTAATGTCATATAACCGATATAAACGATTCATTTGCTCAAAGTAAATAAAAAAAAAAAAAATAAGTAAATATTAAACGTCAAACAGTGAAAGAGTACATAAATAAAAACCAAATAAACAATTCTATGAAAAAAAAAAATATATTATTTTAATAACCTGTAACTAATTAATGCAATTTGATAAAAAAAAAAATGTGTACGAACCAAGAAAAAGTAACATAACTTTTCACTCGAAATAAATCGCTTAAAATCAAGCAAGCTTTCTCATTATTTTCCGAGTATCGAGGTTTTTTTTGTTTTACATCCGAATATCGTCTAGACCTGAAAACACTTAGTCGTGTTTGTCTTTTGATCGTTTTACGCTAGATTTCGCTAGTCAACCGTAACGCAACAATATTTTTGTTTCAACTTTCGTCGTCGTATTCGAGAATGGTGACCATGTACGAGTACCTATTATAATAACAAAATACCGTTTTTTCGATTGTAAAATTCGATCGGAATTCTGTCCACACGCTAGATTATCGCCTTGTTTCCAAATTGACCCCTCAAAAATCTAAAAAAAAAGTAAAAATGATAAATGTTATCGCTACTGTATAAACGGTTTTCAATATGATAAACTCTTAATAAACGTCCATGTCCCCGAATAGAAAATGTAAATTTTGAAGAAATTAAAAATCAAGATAACACAGTTAACATGAATGCCTAATTTACCTAATAGTACGATTAAGTTTAAATCCAAAATACAAAGACAAAAAAAAAACCAAATCGTATTTTGTTTGCAAAGATTTATTGTTCAGCACAGATATAAATTAAACTACTCTATGTATCCTATCCTCTCAACATGTTTTTTTTTTTGTTTTTACTAAAATTGACAGTAGTATTTATAGGTATCAAGCGAAATTCCGGTCCCACAGTAATATACCTATTATTTACTCGTACGTGACCAAACTGTAAGCAATTGAAATAAAAATGGTATACGCTATCTAATTTTTTAGGGCTTAGTTAGCGTTTTCACTATCGTGTATGTTTATATATATATATATATATATATAGAGTGTCCCACGGAGAGCAACAATTTTTGTTCCATTCTATATTTTTAAGTTTTTCTTTTTTTGTAATTACAAATAGTACTTTGTGCTATAATTTCTTATATTTATATAATTTTTTTAAACTAAAATTAAAACATTTAACATAATTCTATAAAAATCCAATACAACCACTTTATACATTTATTTTGATAGAAAATTTTGTATGAAGTTTGACGATAATTTAATTTCTTTTCATTACCATTAATTTAGTTAATAATATCAATCAATTCACCGATTTTTCCATGAAAAATATATTGTTGTGAACTTCGACAAATTAACAACTTATCACTAGTAATAGTTTTACCTACTTTTGTATCAAAAAAAAAATAAATATAAAATTGCTATGTCGGAAATAATATTACTAAGTAATATTATTACAAAAGCAAAAAACTTTAAAACATTGAATGGAATAAAAGTTGAAATTGCATTTACGAAAACCATCGTAGAACACCCTGTATTATCGTATTTCCGAAACAGTCGGAGTCCCTTCACAAAACATATATTTTATTTTTTTTTTTTTTAGTGCGTGTTAATTGTTGCGCGTGTTAAGTTTTACCTAGCGATTTCCGCCGTCGTGGTTGTTGAAAAATGTATACGAATCACGGATATCGTACATTATTATTAACGTCGTTGTCGATACAATGTACTCGGCCGAAGGCTAACCGGTACGTCGCCGCGAAGTCCGGAACTCTAACGAATAATACGCGTATACACAATTGTGCAAATTATTATTGTAAAATATTCTAGTTTTTTGCAGTACTCGAAGCACGGGCACAGAGTTCCATTAAATTCGGACGAAAACCCACTAGGGAGAGAGGTAGAGCTGTGAGAGGGAAAGAGGGAGAGAGAGTGAGAGAGAAAGACTATAGGTACCTATATATAACAACACCGTAACATTGTGTTTACGCAATAAATTGTTCCTTTAGTCAGAATAGTTTGACCACGTCCGGTGATAAAAATATTTGTATTTTTTCTCGTCGTTTTAGTACTATATACTTACCTAATATAGAAAATTCTCCGTGCCTGAATTATTATTTTGGGCCAACGGAACACCGGAAGATTTCCGTTCCAACAAAATTGACACCCCAAATTGAAATTTTGTTTCGTATAATACGGCAAATACAATAACAAAAATGTTTACTATAATTTCGTATCAATACGCTCTTTAAAATATAGAGTATTTTTAGTTTTATATAATATCCGAAAACGTGTTCTCCGATAAAACAAATTGATAATGATAGATAATAGTTGATGGTGTCTTAAAGAACTTTTAAGTGAACTTGTTTCTCATCAAAAAAATATCACTCCACGTATCTTGTAACTGGTATATTCTAATATGGGGGAAATATCGTATAATATGTATATTTTCACCATGTTTACTGTCTTACAACTATGATGCATGTTTACAAACTTAAAATATAATTAAAAGTTATTTTAATGTTATACTCAATAATATTTATAATTATTCCCTAAGTAAAATGTCTATTGTCTATAATCAGACAATAAACATTGCCTTTTTGACAAACAAGTCAGTATATTTGTAATAAAATCATCGATGTATTATTTTCTACTCTCTATTGTTCCATGTTTTTCGAAAAATGTTTGTAATGCTTTGTTAATGTTGTTAATATTACTGTTTTTAACTTGCTATGTTAAAAATATATCGTCACACATCGATTTTTGTTGGAACATGACCTTTACTCACATGCTGTAAGAATATAATTAAACATTAATTTAAAACACTTGCAGTAATTGTGGCACATTTCGTCACGCCGTATTGAATTGGTTATAATTGTATAACAGCATCGATACTGCTAGTTATAAAATTTGCTCTATTGTAATAGGTTGATGGTGTTATTCCATGATTTATAATATTATAGAAATAAATTTGTAAAAAAAAAATATGTCTTTGAACAATTTCAGCAAAGATTATGCTGCCATAATGAGTTTAAAAAAAAAAAAAAACTAAAAACTCAACAATTTGAAAAATCTTTAAAAAGTTCATAAATTGCCAGAATATTATGAAACCTAATCAACTCTTTTCTCGGTATAGAAATGGATAATATTTATATTAATTAAAAGTCTCTACTTACGAATAAATCTAATCATACAAACATTTTTAATTTGGTGGCTAGTGAAATGCAAAAATCTGTAAAATAGCTTTTTATGGTTTTATAAATGTTGCGACCCAACATGCAAACACATGCTGATTGCATGATGAATAGGGGCGTTAGTAAAAATTCCAAAAGTTTAAACTCAGCGGGGGTGTTCTCCAGCTTTCCTGGTTTTTCTGATACAACGATTAAACAAAAAGTATGCGAATTTCAGTGGTAGACATGTAAATGCATACAAATTTTTAAAATTGAAATATCACTAGTCGCGATAAGTATAAAATGGATTAATAAAACACTGGTGCTCTACGAAGTTAAAGAAATCTACAAATTAAATCTATAGACAGCGGTATGATTAACTTGTTGAATTAAATTAATATTTTTGCTATAGCACTACATATTCAGATAGGTATGTAAATAAATTACACGTTTGATGATACCATAAAAAATCGTAAGAATATGGTTATAGATTAATGGGGAGCGGAGAGATATTTAATTTTTCAGATGATATAAACAAATCCGAACATTTTTACGAACCGAAAAATTGCGAGAAATAAGTAGTAAAACATAGAACTTATTTAATAGAGCTATAATTCAAAAGCCAATTTGTAGTGTAGATAGTTACCTATAGGTAGTTACTGTTTATTAAATCAATTATAATATAAAAATATAAGAGAAAAATAAATATTAGAAAAAACCAATTGCAATGAAAAATCAACAACAGAAAAAGTGAGGAATGTAGTGAGGAAATCTGTATGTAACATAAATCATTGCTAGTGAGCTATTCTTTTATAACATCCATGTATATTGCAACAATTTTTTATTTTTATTTACTGGAACGCAGTTTATAAACGCATCAGTAATAGACTTATTATTAATAGGACGTGCTACCAACGGTGTTTAAGGGTCTATTGCGTATATTAAATTTTCTCAATATTTTTTACTAAACATAATCGTATCATCTCATGAATAACGAAATACAAATGTAAGTATCCTATACAATTATTATCACCATTTATAGAAACATCGTTTCGTGTAGGCAAAAGACCCAGAGAAAATATAAAATAATATAGAAAGAAACCAGATTTTCACAATAATAAAAAAAAGCATTACTTGCATTGAACAACATAAGTTTATAAAAACTTATTTATTTTAAATAAAGGTAGAATAAACCAAAAACAACTGTTTATTTGATGTACTATTTTTTAACATTTTAATATATTGATTGGCAATCATTTCCTGGCGCTTAAAAAATTACTAGCACTCATGAGCTCTCTAGTCATACAAAATCAAGTCTATTTTCGGGTACAAATGTTTTTTGCTTTATTTCAGGTAACTTACAATTTAATGAAGCAAACTCATCAATTAAACCAAATAATTAAGATCAAAAATATATGTATTGAATTGTTTTATGGTGTTCATAAACTAAAATTGTATAGCTTAAAAGTTAAGTTTAAAAGCTTTTTCGGAAGTTTGAACTCAATTTCTTTATAACTTTCATTGTGAAATTTCAAAATTTAAAGGAAATTTGAATAAGCATTCTGCAGTAGAAAAATCTGATGTGAAGAGAGCATTTTGAAATGATTAACTTTTAATAGTTAAATTGCCTAGTTAATTTTTATTTGTTATTTATTTTTGTCCAAAACCTGTTTTTTTTATATATATATATATACATAAATATATAACTTCACCTAGTTGATTATCTCCATTTAACACAACAGTGACTTTGGATATTTAGTTACTCTGCAGGTGGTTGGAAAAGTAATTATTTAATACTAAAATCTAAAATGTGTAGGCTGGGTCACAACAACAAAATATCACCATTGAGTATTTCATAGCTTATACAGCAAACGAAACAAAAACTTCATTTAAAACAAAATATAATTGTATAAATATAACTTTAGTTGACATTTTAAAACGTATTAATACATATTATATTTTTTTCTTGAAAATTTATACAGTATATTATTACATGTATTAATGAGTTTGATTTTTCAAAGGCTATCGATACTCTTGAATATCTATTAAATGACTACTTATGAAGGAAATAAATACTGAAATAGAGAGAAAGTTTACGAATGTAAACATCGTTTTTAGAATATATTTATTGAATGTTGAAACATCGTGAGAAAGCGAAAGATCATTTTAAGTTTTAAAGAAGGTTCAAAATTAGCAGCAATCAACTCTTTACTCTTATATATATTATATAAATTATCATTATGGATTCCTCCAAAAAATCATTGTTATATATGACACTAAAAAATATTGTAAACAAGTTTTGTAGTTATCAATTTATATTTTAAGTCGTATACTATACACACATTTTATATGCCAATTATATTTTGTTTATATACTGCTATGTTATAGACATTATCAGATTAGTATAATTTATTTAGCATATTATATAAAGAGAAGGTATTTTTTGATTTGATTTGTAACTTGTAAAAATTAACCATGGATAAGAACGTATAAAAACATAAAATGAAAAACCTTGCTATAGTTTATGATATTTTATAATGAAAATTATAGTGCCTATGACGGTGTTAATCTGAGCCATATTATACGTCAGTAATTATACTAAATGTTCCATCGTGTTCTACCAATGTTTCTATCTCTGCAAATATTCAATTTATTTATATTATCAGAGATTAAATTTATGTATGACAAATTTGTGTTTTCGACCCTTAATCACTATACAAAGATATTGGCATTCCTTAGAATTTTAGAAACACGAAGCTTTGTATTACACATTACTCTAAAAATTGTAACCCAACACATACATATTAAATAATAAGTTTTTAGTAAAACCTATTTTAATTCTTAATCCGGGATGTAAATTACTTTTACCTACGGTAGAGTTATCTATCGTGCGCTATGACTAAAGTACTGCGATTGTTATTCCGTATTGTAATAATAACCTGAATATGATTTTTTTTTTTATATCTCTTTTTTAAAAATTAAAAAAGTCATTACTAAGAAATTATTCATCGGATAAGTAAGCATGTTAGTTTACAATTTTTAGAATGATATCTGTTACAAAGTGGCATTTTTAAATATTGAACAAATATAAATTAATTTTTTTTCTAGTAATAAAGGACTGAAAATAGAAATATAATTTTTCTCGATACATACATGTCTTCTAACACAATATTCACAGAAATATTGGATAATCACTGTAGAACACCTTGTATATTTGATCCCAATGATAAAGGGCTCAATTTAAATTTGTATAGTTTTAATTACAAACAAATTAAAGTTTGAAATATCCTAAATGTCATTATGATAAAATTATTTCTAAATTACTAAATAGCCAGACTTGAATATGGCGTTCTAAATGGCGAAAATTATATTATAAACTTTTTAACAAAATAAAAAATACATCATGGCAACTTATGATATTTTAATTTTCTATAAAATATGAAATGTTAGAATAAACATATGAAGGCAGACTGATATAATGACTCTTTACGTGTAACTTTAAAACTATTATACATAGAACAATGAATTAAAAATACATATATAATAAATGAGATGATCTGTATTTACATACTATTATTTTTCAAAATGACTACCTTCTAGGGCGATACATTTTTGTCAACGATTTACTAGTTTAGAAATGCCGTTCAAATAATAATCTTCAGTTTGAGCATTGAACCATCGTTTAACTTTAGCTTTAACTTTCTCGTCAGAATTGAAGTTTTTACCCTTTCGATATTCTTTTTGCTTGAGAAATGAAAAAAACACCATGGAGTCAAATCTAGGTTATAGGGTGTGGAATGACTTGAAATCTTATTGATTCAATTGCTGTTTGAATCGCACATCTGAAAAGGCCGTAATTATAAATTGGGTAAATAACAAAATAATAAAATTCCATTCATACACGACCTCAGTTTCCTACACACTAAACGACATAAACTATGAAATGTACATCAAATGAAAATTGTATTTTAAATCTACAAAATACTATAAGATAAGAAGCACTTATCAGCCAGTCCTCGTATTATACACGTAGTCAATATTCATTTATACAATTAGTATTCTTATATTTAAATTTTAAATGACTGATTTTTTAAGAAAAAAAATTATAACACGGAATACATGTTTATCATAGAAACTGCTTCTATATCAAAAGACAGGAAATTATCACAAGTTATACTATACAAATACTGTGTTATATAGTGTTGCAATAAATATAATGAGTATTGGTTTAAAATACATATTATTAATATACCCTAATATCAGTATCGTGTGCGGCCAATAAAAGCGTTCGTCAATAGTACATGAAAGGACC